TGGTAGTTCAACCAAGGGGAGGCACTGGTGGAAGACTGACAGGAAGAAGGAAGAAGCCAGGGTATCCCTCTCCCCGTTTGCTCTTGTGGGTGGTGCCTTCGGCAGGAGCTGAGTCTCCTCCATGGTCCCTGCAGGATAGCCCTTTCCTCTGAGGTCTCAGCGCTCACAAGGCAGCCCCTTTATGGACCCAGCTCCCACCAAATGGCCACAGTCTCTGAGTTCTAGTCGCATGACCTTCTCCCATTGTCTCTCCATCCCCTCGTGGTGGCTTCCTGCTGTTGCCAAGCTCTGGGTTACCTCACCATCATTCTTGGCATTTCAGCTGTTCTGGTGAACACACGTGCCCTATAGCAAAAAAATCTCTCCAAAAAAAAAAAATGTAAAGGCTAAGTTTGTAGGAAACTTCCAGAAGCCAGATTAGTGAAAGCAAGGAGTATTTGATTTTGAAAGAGGACAAGGATGGCACCAGGCACCACCCTGGTGACATGGTACTTGACACACAAGTGGATTTGCTCTCCAAGCCAAGGAATCAGGCAAAAGATGCGGAAGCAGCCTTTGCCTGGCTGCCAAGGCCCTCAGGCCCAGGACAAGGGACCGATGCACACACAGCTGCAAGAGATGGCAGCTGGTACCCCTCCTGTCCTCAGCTACCCAATGTACTTGCAGCTCATCGCACCCTCTCCTCGTCAACTTCTTAGGAAAGGCGATCACATCGTCTTGGACAGTGAAGATGTCAAGGACTGAGAGAGCCTCTGTCCGGTTCTCCCGAGGTTGAGCCGTGGCGGGATGCTAAATGTTTCACAAGGACTGGAAAGTGGGAGAGAGAGAGAAATTCCTGGTGATTTCCACAGTTATAATAGCCCACCAGAGCTGTCCTCAAGCACCCAACGTGACAGCAGCCGGCTCACAAAATTCCTGAAAATGTAACAATCGGCTTTCATGAGCTAGTACGAGGCAGCGCAAGAATAGCACTGGGTGTTTATATTTTAATGAGGAACAGCATCTTAAAGTCGCAAGAATGACTCTATGCCAGAATTGTTGGCCAGCAAGCTCCAGAATTATTTTCAACCTTCAAAATTATTTTGAAGAGCAAAGAACCATCCCCCATATCTTCCACGAAAGAGGACGGCTTGTTATTCAGCTGTGTACGGACGGCCTTTAGCAGGACTCAGACCCCAGAGCCTGTGCCCTCAGTGTGAGTGCAGGACCACCAGCATTAGCAGTCCCTGAGAGTTAGTTAGAAATGCAGAATCTCCGGCCCTGCCTCACACATGCTAAATTCGAACCTGCATTTTCGCAAGGTCTCCAAGAGATCTTTATGCACTTTACGGTTTGAAAAGCATGGCTGTATATTACTGAACACAAAAGAAATATATATATATATATATATATAACCGTTTATATACATACATAGAGAGAGAGACACACATGTGTGACAGAGACAGAGAAAGAGAGAAAAAAGCACCCCTCAGAGGAAATGGCCACAGTGAAATCCCTTCTCCTGCAGTCTCTCACAGGATTTAGAACACACATGCCCAGCATGATTTTCAAGCCACCAAATCCAGGATTCAAACTGCTCAGCTGGCCGCATAGGAGCTACCCCACCAGGTGGCTTATAACCATTCTATTATATTTCAAGAAAGCCCTAACCATGACAATCAGAAGTTCTTCGCTATTTGGAAGGGAATTCGGATGTAGGGCATTAACAGTGCTGACTGGCTGAATGTTTCCACATTTTCTATTTCAACAATGAGGCATGGAGCAGTGACAAGTCCCTCCGTCTCCACCCCCGCCCCCGGCCGCAGGACCACAAAGCCCAAACTCTGAGATGCTGCATGAGCTAGAGAATATAGATTCCTCAAGAGCTGCTATTCAGGCCGCACGCAGCATGTGCCAGCGTCCCTCCCCAAGGCCGGCTCAGCCCCCAGCAAGCTGCACATCTGGCTGTCACACACTCTTTTGTGGGCCATCTCAATGGTCGCAGTGATGCAGCCTCTGCCTGGGGCCAGCCCCACAGTGGCCTCCCTGTCCTTCCAGCATGTGATGTCATGAGCATGAATGTCCTGCCAAACATTTAAGACGTTGGACCTCACATTGTGTACATTGTATAGAGAAACACTGACACGTAGATTTCTTTTTAATTAAAAAAAAAAAGAAGCAGAGCAAGATACAACTGAACCTTGTTCTATTGTTACCCCCAAACCACCAGTTCAGCACAAATATGTAACTTGTATTCTTTAAGGACCCAGGCTTCTCTTTTTGTTTCTGTCATTGTAACTAACACCCCAGATTCAGAGAGTCCCTTGAAACATTCTCTTCTCTAATGGAGCTGCTATCCAGTTCTTGGAAAGCATACGAACAGGACTGGTTCATGTTCAAACCAGAGCTCTCCTGCACATAGGCTCTTCAAAATAGGCTGAAGAGACAGTGGGGGTAGCTCGGTGTAACTTGCAAACCCAGCTCCTCTCTGATGATCGCCAAAGAGGGGACAGGGGCCAGTAGCTGCACTCAACGGGCGTGAGAAAGACACTTTTCCATCAGTTCCCCGGTTCTCGAAGTGCGTGGAGACCACCTCACGGCCATCACTGGGGTACACAGCAAGCTGCAGATTATGGGGTCTCCACCTGGATCCACCAAGGCCATTCGGGGGTAGGGGGGAAGAGAGCGAACCTGCATTTTGCTTTTACTTGACTCCCTAATATCAATTCTTGAATTGGAGAATCGGGGCTTTAGCATTAAACAGACCTAAATCCCTTTTAGTTCTATTGTACATAGGGCAAGAAAACCTTGACAAACAATCTAAATTCTCTACATCTTATTTTCTTCATCCATGGCGAGGAGCAAACGTGTGAAGTTCCTGACAGAAACGGGGCTTCCCGTCCCTCTTTATTGAGGTGGAATCCACGGGGTGTGCCATTTTTACATGACTGGGAGGTCACTGCCTTTACCTGGATGGAGACTTATTAAAATTGTTCAATGAATGGTCATCGCCACACTCTGATGGAACCCTAGTGAGAGCAGGTAAAATAACCGAGAGAATCTCTCCTGACAGTCACTGAGGTAGAACTCTTCGCTCTTCAGCAGCTCTGCGCCCCTCACAGCCCCGGGCCACGTGGCTACTGAGCAGTTGAGTTGAGGCACCTACAGACTAGATGTGTGGGAAGTGTAAGATACACACTCAATCCAAAAGCTTCACTCAAAAAGAGGGATGTAAACTATCCCACTAATTGATTCATTGAAGTGAAAATATTTTCTAGGTACTGGATCAAAGAAAGCATATTAAAATTAGTTTGGGGCTAGCATGTGGCCCTTCAGCTAAGGTGGCTGGATCCTCCATGACTGACAGCATGGCTTGAGTCTTGGATCCAGCAGCTTGAGAAACATACCAGGTGCACGTGCACGCATGCCCAAAATCCTAACGAGGAGGAAGAAATGGAGAACGGATTGCAGTGTAGCCATGCCCCATGTGGATGTTTTCTCTCTTCTCTCTCTCTCCTTCTCTCTCTGTCTCCAGCAAGTGCATGCACTCTCTAGCCAAAAGAAAAGAAGAAGAAAGAGAGAAGAGAAGAGGAGAGAAGAGAGAAGAAAGGAGAGGAGAGGAGAGAAGGGAAAAAAAGAGGGGAAAAAGAAAAAGAAAAGAAGAGAAGAGAAGAGAAGAGAAAAGAATAGAAAAGAAAAGAAAAAAGAAAAAAAGAAAAGAAAGAAATTTCCCGTATTTATTTTGAGCTTTTCTAATGTGGCTGCTAGGACATGTCTCAGTACATGCTTGGCTCATGTTACACCCCCTCCAGGACAGCAGCATTCTAGAGGCTACCCCTCCTTCCTCAATCTGATCCTAAAGGCAAATAAGGGCGGAGTTATGATCAACGAGAAGAATCCCAAATTCGGCAACAGTCAGCCAGGAGATATTTGGGTGCCTCTCCCGCAACGCAGATGGGATCCAAGCAGCACACCCCTTCAGGAGAGGCCAGCAGCAGCCCCAGGGAAGGAGCCAGGTGAGTGAGGGTGTTCGCAGAGAAGGGAAGGGACTACTGCCTGACACGTTTGCTTCCAGCTACTGGTTGCAAGGGGAGGGAACACAGGACTGAATGCCCCACTTGTCCACGCCCCCCAAACACCCTTGGCTCCATTCACTTTGATAATTGTTATATCACAACAAGTCTTAATGGCTAGGAAGGAGCCTTTCAATACAGCCACACAACTCGCATCCTTACAAAAGCGACACCCTAACTATGCAAATATTCTACTTCACATGAGGGTTAGTGTTCCCATATAAGCAATTACAAACCAGTTTCTACTAGGTTGTAATCTCTTTAGACACACCTATTTCTACAGAAATGACCAACCCAAATGGATATTCCAAAGGGGAAAGTGTTGCCAATCATTATACTAATGGAACCAGTATTAGATCTGGAAAATGTCTGCTAGAGTAGATGGTAATCTGTGTTCCTTACAGCTGGGCCATAACTTGGCAGATGGTAACCTGTGTTCCTTACAGCGGGGCCATAACTTGGCAGTCTCTGGGGTAGAAAACAAATACAAATTCATTCTTGGTCCAGAATTTCCAAACATCTACATGTACATGTTTGAATAAAACACATTTAGATGTTATTATTTAAGGGGCCGATGCAATGGGTTTTTCTAATTTTCCCGTTGTAAAATTAGAGTAAAGGAGTTTGACTGCAGAATGCTTAGAACTTGGTTTCTGATTACTGCCCATATTCACTGATGGCCTAAAGATGCTGTTCAGTCACTCCAGTTAAGACATCTAAAGAGCATCCAGGTGACATTTTTATGATCACACATTACCACCAAGATATTGTGAATATAATTGTTTAATTAGTCAGGGTGATGCAGCATGACTTGTTCTCTTACCACCAACCAAGTTCCCTATAGACTACCAGTCGAGAGTAATGAGTTTTTTGTTTTTGGTTTTTTGAGGGTTTTTTTTTTCTATCAGTAGATGATCTCTTTGGATACAACAGAAGACTGAAGGCCAGTTTTGCAGACAGTCTGTTATTTTATTACACAGATTTTACTTAAAGAACAAAATGCACCATCAGTGTTTGGAGGTTTGGGGTCTCAGATACTGATATGCCATCAGCGTTTACACCCGTAAAGCCAAATTCAACAGTACAATTTATGTTAAACAGCATCACTTCAAGAGAGCTAACAGAATGAAAATTGAGAAAGGGGGACATCGTTTAAAATGTATTAAGTGGAAGCTTTTGCAAGTGTAGGGTTAAAAATGACATCATACAAACCTGGAAATCAAAAATACTTTGTAGGATGTCAGTTAGAGTTGTACTCGCTTGTCCTGTTATTTACTGCATAATTAAGTCTACTTGGTTCATTTCCTTCATACTGACGAATTGAAACTTTCAGGAAAACTGTGGTTATAAAAATGACCAATCTTGAAAAAGTATGTACAGGTAAATGTAAAATCACCAACTAAAAAATATCCCCACCCTTTCTTCACCTTACAGAAAGGGAACTCTCCCCTGGAGGGAAAGTTCTGCCACTCCCCTCCCCCAACCCATGTCCCCAGTTTGATCCTTTTCTGTCTCTTAGATGTCAATAACTGGGTAGATGACCTTGGAGCTGAAGAACAGGGAGGAAACACACCCTTCTGAGGCTCCCATTGTCATCTGTAACGGTTTGAAACGTGTCTTTTATTTATCTCCCCTACCCCCACCCAACTCAGCAATGTTTGCAAAACATTTGAAATTTAGAGAGAAACAAAATATATATATATTTATTTAATAAACAACAAAGGGATGCCTAAGAAAGAGCTAATCGTGGGTAGGCAACACCCTGAGGATAACCTACGGGCATGATTCGAGCTAAGGATTTCCTTTAAGCCAACAGAGAGGGCGGGGGTGTTAAGGCTACAAAATACCAGACAGGATGCGTTCCTGGATCTTTGGAGCCTGGCGGAGGAGTGGGCTTTCTTCCCACTGTGGCAAGCAAGCCTAGGGCCAGGGCCGGCGTCACAGCACCTCTGTGGGCAGCTCAGCAGCTCCCTTATACGTGGGCGCTCTTGGCATGAGTCGGGGAGCTGGAGCCCGAAGAGTAGTAGAAACGGTTTTCTCCAAACGCCTGGGCGTCTCCGGAGCAGCAGACGATGACGCAGCCTCCCACGAGGCACAGCACCGCCCCGATCCAGCCTGCGTACAGCGAGTAGCCGAAGCTCACGATGGTGGTCTCGCGGTGGGCACACACGGGGAACCAGATGGTGGCGACAATGGCGCAGAGAGCTGCGGAGTCAGGGAGAGAGCCGTGACCAGGCGTGCCCAGCACACACCAAGCAGAGTGTGCAAGCCCAGTCATTACACAAGCGCCGGGGGACGGGGGGGAGCCGTGACCAGGCGGGCCCAGCACACACCAAGCAGAGTGTGCAAGCCCAGTCATTACACACACACACACACACACACACACATACCACGGGCTTGCCACAAACCCCAGATAACTTTATCCACCGGCTTTGCTGCTTTGTCAGTCTGAACTAAAGGTTTGCATGCACAGAATAAGCTGGGTCCTAATCTGTGGCCCCGTTCCACTGATGTAAACTTAGCAATGGCAAAGCCATGTGGGAAGGTCCAGGTTTGTCCCTGATCCTGTCTGGCTGTGGGTGACAGAATGAAGGCCTTGTCGGGGTGCTCCTTCCATGAAAAAATAAATTAAATTAAAACAACACAGTTGGCAGAGACAAAGAAGCACGACCTAGGGCTAGCCTGGTGGCGTGATGGGGAAAGTGGCTGGGCCCCACGTAATGGACAACCTGATTTAAGTCCCAGACCTGGGACACAAAACCCTAAGAGGAGAATAGAGAAGGGATTGTAGTGTGGCCATCCCCCCAGGGGGTGATTCCTTGCTTTCTGTCTCTCTGGCAAGTACACGCGCCCTATAACAAAAATCTCTCTCAAAAATAAATAAATAAATAAATAAATAAATAGCCCAGCAGATGGCATAGCAGTTATGTCACTGGACTCCCACATGGTGGACCACAGTCTGAGTCTCAGACCTCATGGCTTGAAACTCATGCTGGGCATGTGTGCGTGTGTGCCCAGGATCCTGAGAGAGAATGGAGAAGGGATTGTGGCTTAGCCATCCTCCCTGGAGGTGATTTCTCACTTTCCGTCTCACTGTCTCTGTCTCTCTCTCTCTCTCCTCGAAGAGCGCACACACCTTAAGGCACAAACCTCTAAAAAAAGAAGAACTTTAAAAATGTTAAACCTCTAGGCCAGCACTGCCTGTTTGGCAGTGGACAGCCACAAGCTCCATGGGGCCATTAGACATTTGACATGAGTGTAGTCAAAAAGACCTGAATCTTCAACTTTAATTAGTTTTCACTTAAACAGTCGCATGGCTGGTGGCTACAGTACTGAACAGCCCAGTTCAAGACAAAGCAACTCCTTAAGTCCCTTTGGTATCAGCCAAAGGTGGCAGACATAAGACCAGCAGATGGCATGGTGTAAGGCGTTGGACTCCCGCATGACCAATGGTGGTGGTTCCTGTCCTGGACCTGGTGGCTTGCTATCTCGATCTCACTTTCTCTCTCTCTCTCTCTCTCTCTCTCTCTCTCTGTCTCTCTTTGGTCGAACTAAAATAAATAATTCCAAAGCAAAAAGGTTGGTAGACATAATAATAATAATGTTTTTGATTGTTACTCATAGAAGCTATCGACAAATTCAAGAGAGGGCACTGGTATTCATTGTCCATCAGCCTGGTGTCTGCCACCTGGGGCACCCTTGTCACACACTTTCAAGTCAGCAAGGCTTTTTTCTGATTTTCACTCCTACTTTCTCTTTCTCTGCCATGGATTCCAAACCGGGCCCTCTTGGAGAATTGCTTGACATTGTGAAAGTCATACTTTCAGCAAGAGACAGAGAAAATTCTTTTTCTAGAAGAAGGATAGACTTCCTCTTGGAAAACATTTCAGCCAGAAAGAACAGTTCTAGGTTCCCCATAGCAAATGCAACCCAAAACCCAGTTCTAGACTCCCAAAGTGGGCATTTGTTCTATTATGGGCAAAAACAGCAGCTTCACAAAAGCTTCTAAACAGCCAGCCTGTCCACAGGAAGAAGGCAGGGAACAAAAAGCTAAATTCTATATAAAAAAAAGACTTAATGTCCAAACAAGTGATTTAGCTTAATCCCATCGATCTTTCCTATAAACAATTAACTGGTTCCAAAATAGCCTGTGGTTCAAATCAAGTTTTGTGTTTCTCAGTTACTTCATACATACACATGTGCAAACGTATTTCCCGTGTCTCATATAAACCTACCCTAACTTTCAGATTTGGTTTAGATTTTATAGACTCAGACAAGAAATTGTCTCTGAATTTATTGACTTACTCCCTTTTTCCAAAGCAAGACACTAATGCAACGTTATCATCACATAGGTAAAGAATTGGGCTCACGGGGACCAGCAGGTGGCATGGTGGTTAAGGTGCTGGACATTCCCACATGGCTGTCGATGGTTTGAGTCCCGGACCTGGCAACTTGCTATCTCACTTTCCCCCTCTCTCTTTCTCTGTGTGTCTATCTCTGGTCAAGTTAAAATAAAATGAATGAATAAATTAAATTGAATTAAATAATTCTTTAAAAAAAAAAAAAAGAATTGGGTTCAGTATTCCAAAAGCAACCATCAGTCAGTCAGCTTTGAATGTTTGGGGATTTTTGTTCAATTTTGTTTCAATTTAATTCTCTAGAAGAAGGAAAAATCAGAAAAGCGTTTTTTTTCATTCTATCTGAACATTGATATAATGAGCCGCACAGGCCTGGATAAGTCAGTGGGTAGACAGACGGAAGACAACTGGATGGATGAGAAGTCTCACTTCAATTCTACATGCTCCACTTCCTACACTCCAAAAATCATAAAACCTGAATGTGACTTTAACACACCAAGTCTTACAGTCACGAGCTCGTGATTTACCTCGTTAAAGATTTCCTCTAATAATCCGTGCAAATGAAGGCGAGTGAGCACCGGTGGGCTCTTTATTTCCTAGTAGGTAAGTGAACCCTGGGTGGAATTCCTGTGGCTCTCAAAGAGGAACCACATCAAAACCACGGAAAAATGACAGCCCGCCACGCCACAGGAAAGGAAATGAGAGGCTCACCAAAACAGTGACCTTCAACTGAACTCCGGATGAAAAATGTTAAGAAACCAAAGAAGGAGAATTTCCTTAATTTCAGGAACAGTTTGAACAGAGAGCTCTTTGGACCAGCCAAGTTAAAAATGCAAGTCAGGGCATTTACTTAACCACAGAAAAAGTAAGAGAACTGGCGAGAACTTTCTGCTTTCTAAAGACATAAAAGCCTGTTGGGCTTATTTCTATTTATAGATAGATAGATAGAGATAAATAGATGGATAGAGCCACATACGTGAGTTTAGAATGGTTCTCTCCACAACTGGATAAAATAAAGTGTTTTTCTAAAAAGTCACAGTTACCTCTAACTTAATGAAAATAGAAGCGCAATACAGAGATTTTTCTTTTTTTTTTTATGCCATCAGAAATTATTTTTAAATTAAATCTCTAAACACAAGAGATTTTAGCACTCAACTTTTTTCAGTTTCTGTTTCCCCTTTTCCCTTCAGAAGCTGCAATAGTTAACCACACCAAGGGGGTATCCATCATTCGTAGCTGGAAAATACAGAGTGAAAATTGAGGATATTCTAGGCTAAAAAAAATGAGGGGTCCAGCTCTGTAACACAGGGGTTAAGCAATTTGCACAGAAAGCTGTATCTTGGGACCAGCAGATGGCGTAATGGTTGCATTCCTGGACTCCCATGTAGTCGAGCTCAGTTCAAGTCCCAGACCCGGTGGCTTAAAACTCACACAGGGTGCATGTGCATGTGTGCCCAAAATCCAGAGAGCAGACTGGAGGAGAAGGGATTGTGGCGTGGCCATCCCCTGGGGGGGGTGATTTCTTGCTTTCTGTTTCTCTGTTTCTCTGTGTCTCTCTGGCAAGCACATGCACCCTATAGCAAAAATCTCTCTTAAAAAAAAAAACAAAGAAAAGAAAGAAAGTTAGATCCCACGTGGCTGACTGCAGTTCAAATCTCACCCCACGATTTGAAAAACACGCCGTACATATGTGTGTGCACTCAAAATCCTGATGGGATAGACAAATGAAGAAGAAAGGATAGGACATGACCAGGCCCTGTTGAAAAAGGAGAGAGCCTGTAGGCTGGCATGCTCTCTCTCTCTCTCTCTCTCTCTCTCTCTCTTTCGGAGTCAGGGCTCAGGATCCAGGTCCTCTGACTCCAAATTTCTTTTTTCTTTTTTGGAGAGATTTTTGCTATAGGGCATGTATGCTCACCAGAGAGACAAAAAGTGAGAAATCACCCTCCAGGGGATGGCCACACCGCAATCCCTTCTCCTCCCTTCTCCGCTCAGGGCACACACACACATGCATCTGGCATGAGTTTTCAAACCACCAGGTCTGAGACTTGAATCTCAGTAGACCATGTAGGAATTCAGTGCCTTAACCATTATGCCACCTGCTTCGCCCCCCACCCCCTGGAAAAAAAAAAAAAGATTTTAAAAAAGAAAAATAAGGAAGAGAAAAAGGAAAAGAGAAGGGAAGAAGAAAGCTTCTCTACATAGATACAGATTGATCTGGACTTACTTGGGTCCTCTCATAAGTAGAATTCTTCCTTTTTGAAAAACAAATAATATACCTCTTTTTAGAGCAAGTTTCAAATAATATAATACAATGTGTTCTCTATGTGATAGGATACACCCTTGTTAAATGTTAACAACAATCTTGGGACCAGCAGGTGATGTAATGGTTATGTCATTGGACTTTCACGTGGTGAAATGTGGTTCAAGTCCTGGACCTAGTGCCTTAAAACTCACACCAGGTACATATGCATTTGTGCCCAAAATCCCAAGAGGAGAATGGAGGAGAAAAAGGGGCCTGGGACCAGCAGTTAGCGTAATGGCTATGTCGCTGGACTCCCATGTAGTTGACCCAGGTTCGAGTCCTGGACCCAGTGGCTTAAACTCATGCCGTGCATGTGTGCGTGCGTGCCCAAGATCCCAAGAGGAGAATGGAGGAGAAGGGATTGTGGCGTGGCCATCCCCCCTGGGAGGGTGATTTCTCACTTTCAGTCTCTCTGTCTCTCTGGCAAGTGCACGCACCCTATAGCAGCAAAAACAAAAAAAAAAAAAAAAAGCTTCGTTTAGGGCCAGCCCTGCAGCGCAGTAGTTAGCACTGTGAGTTAAGAGCTGGGTCCCACTTGGCCAACC